TTTAGCCTAGTACTATAAATAGGGTCCCCAATTACCCTTTTCTTCACTTTATCTTCTTTTTTCTCCTCTAAAATCATAAATCTCTCTCTCTCTCTAAGACTCACTTTTTCGCAAAGATTTTCAAATCTACTCACGTAGAAGCATCTCTATTCCTTGCTCCTTTGAGATTAAGTGTAGAGCTTGCCGAGGGCTTCATTTTGATCGGAGCAAATCTTTGTTTCGTCTCCATCGACTTTTGGATTTTTCTTCCTTCTTCCTCTTCTAAGCTTGAGTTAGGAATTCTTCACACCTTCTTATAAGTTTCAACTTAGTTATAAGTTATTTCTAAAACAATACTGGGATTTTGGGATTTGAACAAAATTCTAGGGTTTTGCTTTTGAAATCAAAATAGGGTTTTTTTTTAAAAATAGAATGATGGGAAAGGTTGTGGGGATGAGATGATGATTGTTATGTGTGGAAAATGGTGGACTTCCTCACTAAGAGGTGATTTTGGAAAGAAAATGAGATTTTGCTCTAAAACTATGAGTTTTGGCTAGTGTTAGAAAACATTGAAAGATGATGTTGGTTTTTTGTAAAATTTTGGCACAAAATATTGATATTAATGGGAGTGGTGGAGTTGGATATGTACTATCACTCACATTTTGAAATTTGGAAAGTTTATCTTATGGAATTTATTTATCTGTTTAGAGATATCTGTTTGGTCTATCGGTGAAGGATAGTTATGATTGTTGTAGACATTGCCTGAGAACTAAGAGAATTAAAACTGTTTTCTCATCCATTTGCATTGAGCATTGTTGCATATTATCACATTGAAAATGTATACTGTTTTAAGAAAAAGATGAATACTGGGTGAATCTGGGTATGGATGTAGTTACAAATGTTAAGTTGGCCTGTGTGTCTTTGGTGAAAGACTAGAAAACCACAATGACAAAGAGTAGTGCTTGTATAGCCTGCTAACAGAGACGTACCTGGAGATTCACAATGTTGTATTCACAATATTGTTTGTAGTGAAAACAGAAAGGTTGTTATGAATTGTTTGTAACCTGACATTGTATGGTTTTAAAAGAAGTGTAAAACGTTTTGGCTTGAGTATGGCATATGCATTCATCCTATAACTTTGCTGAGATTCATATATTGTGCTAAATCGTTTCTTCTAGGCTTTGGCTCACCCTATGTAGGAAAAACATTTCAAGTGCTGATGATATGGCTCCGCCAAGATAATAACTTAGGAGGACTTGAAGCAAAAGCTTCATTTTGTTCATTTGTGTATTTATTTTTGTACAAGCCTAGGGCTTTATTTGTATTGAGTTTAAACTCACTTTTGATGTAACCAAGCATTGTTTTGGAAAGCTGTAAGCTTATAGGGCCTGTCTTAATTGCTTAACTTATTTTCATATCTTTAACAATGTAACACATGCTATAGATTCAAAGTTAGGGCTTATAAATGTATAACTACATGTGCTATTCTTTGTAACATGAGATCATATAGAATGGAAGAGATTGTATAATCAGAATGATGTGTTTAATTATGAGTGTTCATGGATAGTTTTATTGTAATTATTTTGGGGCGTTACAGAAAACATGGACACCATTACGACACATCTGAAAATATGAGTTCAAATCTCTAATAACATGTATTTGAAAAAGGAAATAAAATGAGAGATGATGATATGGCTCACTTGTTTGCTAGATTGCTATGGCTTGGACAAAGTCTTCTCTCTTTTTCTTTCTCTCCCTTAAAGGTTACTCTTCACTTCCTTTCTCTCTGCTTCAGCTATGTGTAGTGTGGGTGTGTGTTTGAGTATGCAAATGCTAAGGGGGTGGTGGTGTATTTATAGGAAATTTGGTGTGAAAAGTCCAAAATGCCCTTGATTCCAAAGGAATTGAGTAGTCTTTGGATTTAGTTAGAATGTAATGGAATGAGGGGTGATGAGGGTCCTAATTGTGTACTTAAACAGGTTCTAGTTAGGGTTATCTTTAATTAGAACTAAGCTAGTAACAAGTACAAGAAAAGTTCCCTAGATTTCAGAGTCCTAGTCAAAAGTCTTCCCTAAATTCATGAAATTTGTTTAAAAAAGGACACTATAATGTTTATTTATAGGGTGGTGTAGACGTCCCTATAGATTTGAGGGACTTTTTCTCATTTATTTGTATACAAACTCTTATATATATGTGTATATTGTAGATATTTTGAAAAAAATATTATAATATTGGGGGTGTACTTTTATATGTATAAAAAATGATTTGGGCTCAAAAGGGTTCGGGAGTCCGGAGGCAGGGCTTACGACCGCGACCCTGAAACTTCTGAACGAGCACACTATGCAACATCACCAAGCGCTCAATCGGTGACGTCTGAGTCTTATGGTCGGTCAAAAATGGGGTGTCTACAGGTGGCCGGCCATCTAGTATAGATTTGAGGGACTTTTTCTCATTTATTTGTATACAAACTCTTATATATATGTGTATATTGTAGATATTTTGAAAAAAATATTATAATATTGGGGGTGTACTTTTATATGTATAAAAAATGATTTGGGCTCAAAATGTAAATAAAGTAAAATGTGTGGCGTTGGAATTAATTAGAATATCTATTTCAAGTGTAGTATTAATTAAAATAATGTTAGGAAAAATAATTTGGTTCGAATGATCTTACTTTGAATTAAAAGATACATAACCAAATGAAAATGATAAAAATAAAAAATTTGGATTTTGAGTTACTAATCTAAAATTTGAGAGTTAAATAATTAATACTAGAGTGTTAGAAATGATTTCTAAGTTACTGGGATCGATTAGGATTTGTACGGGTTCATCCGTGATACGTTTTCAGTTCTAGGGTTAATTTATTGAATAAACGGGGATTAAGGGGTTTTATTCTAATAATGCAAAAGTCAGGGTGTTACTAGGATTTACAAAATTTACGAGTCTCGCATTATATTGTCGAAAAAATGATGACGTCATCTTTTTTACATAAAAATATATTTTTTACATTATTTATTTTTGTATTTTTACACAATCGGTATTAATTTTGGTTCATTAACCATACTAAAACGAAGTCAATATAATTATCTTAACATTGTGATACTCACCCAAAAAAAATTGTTAAAGTTGTGGGAGTTAATATTATTTTTAAACTTCAGGAAATATGTGCAAGTTATTCTTAAATCCATATTTTACAACTTATTTTGAAGTAAAATTTGAAAATAATTATGTTATGAGTCATTACATATTTTAAAAAAAGAGTAGTGGATATGACTATAAGCAAAACCTATGGACGATTGATTGGTCACACTATTTGATAGATAGAACCTCTAAGCATGACACGCGTTGCAACTCACGAAATTTTTTTGCCACATAGCCTACAAAACTGCCACGTAAAAGAAACTAGATAAATACAAACTGTATCCCAATTAATTACTACTTGTTTAAATAATAAAATTCATCATTTTTATTTTAATTGTAATACCCAATAAGGCATGTGTCACTATAAATGGCATGGAATACTCAAAAATCATTAAATAACTTCTCACCAAGTAAAGTTTCAACATGAATGAAAGTTTTTAAATGCTATGTTATATTTTTTAATGATTTGGACAATTCAGTTTATAAAATACCTTGTATTTGTCATTTATAAAAATAAAAAAATAATACTAATAAATAAATAAGTTAATCTAATATTCCTCGTGTGTGTGTGTATAATTTTCGTCTTATCCATGTAGCAAGGTCCTCAAGCTGAGGTACCACACGGCATTAGCCGAGATGTAGGGATGATCCACATCAGGGTCAAGATAAACGGTGAAGAACAAGAGTCTTGGCAGGTGTTGGCTCCTAGATTGGATAACATGAGACTGTTTTGAGAGGTTAATCTTAATTTAACTAGGGCAGAGGGAATCCTAGGTGATTTGTTATTCTTAAATGGTATAAGAGTTTAACATGAGGATGATCACTATGAGAGATAGAACACTCTATATATCATAGGCACCCCATGGGTTTGTTTAAGCATTCTAGTTACAATGCCGAATGATCTTGAGAGATTTGTTTACTAACTTTATTATCGGAGTGTCCTCCCGGTTGATAAGCAATTGGATTAGTCATTCTACTCACTTTCTCATACTTGGATCTAGGTTGAGTCCTCTACGGCTTTATTCCTGAAATTCCCGTTTGACAAGCAAACAAGTTAGTTATTCTGCTCACTTTTTCAAGCATGGATCTAGACTGCATGCTCTACGGCTTTGTTCCCATAAATTCCAGGAGGAAGATCAAAATTTAGTTGTGTGGTAAAATTTTAGCACACACACATCACTTATTCAATTTATTGCACTTGTTATAAACAAACAAACAAACAAAAAATTGATAATTTCTTTTTAAAAACACATTGATCGTTCAATTTTTAGAAGGCAAATGTAATAAATTGAATAAATTGCGATTGTTAGATTGACTATTTTTTATTTATTAATGATGATATATACAATGGTCTTGACAAAATAAAGACCATGTTTGATTTGGTTTTCAAAATTTGTTTTAGAAATTTTTTCAAAAAAACATTTATCATTTTTACATTATTTTATATTTTCAGAGACTAGAAATAAATTGTTTTTTGATATTTACTTTTATGAAATTAATTTTTATTTTTTCATAAAAATTTCAAAAACCAAACAAGGCCAAACAATTTACATCATTAAAATAGGATCTATAATGAACTTGTGAACATGAACAGCACTGCCCAATCCATGATGTGCTCTACAAAAGTTAGATCCTATAAATAATATCACATATTTCTCTAAATTATTACCAAATATGGAAAACAAACAGTTACCTCCCAATCCCAACAAGATCCTGCACCGACGTCACATGTTTGCACAGATGTCCCAATGTCCACCAACACGTGTCTAGTTTTGGTGCCACGTGACGTGGTAAGCCTGCACCAAATCATCTAGGTAGGTGTATTTAAAGTTGGTCCACCACCAATGTCTTTGCCATTGAATTGATCGAAAGTGTGTTGATTTTTAAGAATTGAGATTAGGAATTACAGAGAAAGAGAAAGAGAGTCTGAAAATGCAGGCAGCAAAGAATGCAGCAGCGTCCGCCAAGGAGACGGTGGCCAATGTTGCCGCCTCTGCCAAGGCTGGCTTGGACAAGACCAAGGCCACCATGCAAGAAAAGGTTTTTTTTTTCTTCTGTTTAAATATGCTCATGGCATGCTTTTATTAAAAGAAAAATAAATATTAAATGATCTATATGCCAAGCTACTACCATATCAAGTCTAATCTGATATATTTTAGGCTTCGTTTATTTCGCCAAAAATATTTTACAAAACCAACCTTATTGTCAAATTGTCCTTTACATTCAAGTGACAAACTAAAATTTCTATGGATTAGTCTCATGAGCGTCACAGATTAACCATGGTATGGGTGCACGCGTGTGCAATATGCTGTGGAGTGCACGTTTCATTGAATTAATTTATGTAAGTTGAATGCATGATCAGTTTATGGTAACAATATATGGTGATTTCACCATATCTATATAAAAAAAAAAAATTAGGGTTGAATTTCAGAGAACTTGACAGATCCGTAATATCTACTACGGATTTGTCAAGTTCTCTGAAATTTAACCATAATTTTTTATATTACTGATCAAATCATATATCATTCACCTCTCCAAAAAAATTAATAATAAAATAAGATGATTTGATAATCATAATTTTTTATTTTCTTATGTTTTGTTAGTGAATATTGTATATATTATATTTTCACTATATATATATATACTAGCATATACTTGTGCCTGAAGACACGGTGTAAATAATGTTAGGATTATAATGTAATTGTAATCCCAATATTATTTAAATTTATTTTTAATTATACAAATTCACAAATTTATTATAAAATTTTGGAGTTCTCACAAAGCTCCTCACAAAAATTCACTTTTGCTTATATAATATATAGCTAGATAGATAGATGTGCTTGACATACATACAATTTTCACGGGCATACATACAATATTTTTTTTTTGCTTATATAATTGTATGGAAATTGTATGTATGCCCGTAATGTCCTAGTGTATTACGGGCATACATACATTGTATGGAAATGTGTGTAAAATATATTGAACAAGAAGGAGAAAATAAAAAAAAAATGAACAAATAGAGAGAAAAATAAAAATGGGAGAAAATAAAAAAATAAAAAGAAAAGAGGAAGGAAGGTGGGATCATGGGATCATGGAAGGATGTGTGAGAAAAGAAAAAAAGTAAGAGAGAGAAGCGGAAAAGTAGAAAATGTACATGTAAGATATTTTTTGAAAAACATATCTCAGACATTGTTTTATAACTTGAGTTGATCTGAGCCATCAACATGTCCTATTAGGACAAAAATATGTTGAAGATTCAAAAACTGTCTTGCTTTATTTTATAGATATTAAGGCCAAGTTTGGCAATCCTAAAAAAAGTCAAAAAGTTAAAAAGTTACTTAAAAAGTTAAAAAGTTATCACTATTTACCAAAAGTCCAAAATTACGGCACAACTCCCAATCCTAATTTTCCTCTACACACTAATTTATACAATTTTTTAATACACATTTTTCCATAAAAAGTCAAAAAGTTAACCCAAACATCTAAATTTTTTTCCTCAATTTTTTAGTCCAAAAAGACAAAAAATACAGTTATTTAGGACACCCGAAACAACTCCAAAATGTCATAATTAGCTTTATGATATTTACATTTGGCAAAGGCTTTTTTTAGCTTTTTGGGCTAAATTCACAAAATGACAAAATATGCTAAAATAGTCAATAAGACAAAATGTCACATCAAATTCATAATCATTTCACTTTTTTCCTCACAAACATCACATCTAATTACAAAAAAATTCCTACTATCCTTCCACACACAAATATTTTAATCTTTAAAATAGCCAAAAACTAAAAAGACCTACTAAAATAGCAACTTCCTTGACACACACATATTTTTCTTGTTGTCTACCTTTACCTTGCCTATATATAGGCATTTTCATTATATTGTAAGATACACACAATATTGAATATATACATGATATATAGGCCTCTTCATTGTATTATACATATAATATAATGTTCTTTTTCTCTCCTTCAAAACAAAAATGATAGAGATAGTTGGGATAGGAATAAACTAGTGGATAGAGAAAGAGATCATTATAAAGCGATACTGAAAATAAAATATGGCAGCCGGATAAGTTGAGATCCGGTGAGTGACCAAGGCAAGGTTGTTGCCACACGCCGATGAAGTGGAATTATTAAGCAGTTAACCTAGATCGAATACTATGTTACAATATCTAAAAGAGAAAAAATATATATTATATTACGTGTATATTTAATATTGTGTGTATCTTACAATGCAATGAAGAGGCCTGTATATAGGCAATGTAAGTGTGGGCAACAAGAAAGTTATGAAAGTATCCTAATATGCTAAAATCTAATTATAACATTTAATATATATATATATATATGCAATATTCACTAATACGTTAGTCTACAAAGAGAATTGACAAGTATGATATACTATTTAAGGAAAGAAAAAAAAAACAAATGTGATAAGATGAAATTATTACAAATCGAATTGATCTAATTTTTTATATAAAATATATACACATAAAACTTTATAAAATGAATGATTTGTATTCTTAGTGGTCCCACAAATTCTGAAGTTAAGATTTGAACTTGATAGAAATTGAACCAAAAAAAGCATATCTAATGCATCACCAATTTATCGTAACTATATATTGAGTGCATAATTATTTTGACTCCGATTTTTTCACACAATTTCAAAGTATGTAAACAAAATATAAATTTTTATTGATCCAAAATAGTGGAGCACACAATTTTGGGTGGTGTCAATATTTTTTTTAGATATATTTTGGATCAGTCTCAATTTATTTTTCAGACTTTAAAAATAAGAATGAACAAATTTTTTTTTAATTATTTTATGGAACTACCTTTTCCAAAACAAATGTTACTGCTATGGAAGTTACTCAAAAAGTGTTCGGAATTTCCTTGTACGAGTGTTCAGAATTTCCTTGTACGCGGTTTCGAATGGATAAATTTGTTATCTTATTAAAAATATAAATAAAGTATTTTCATCATTTAAAATTTAGGAATTTATTTTGGGTGTAGATTTGCATTGTTTTTAAATTTATAATGTAAATTTTAAATTTTAAACAAATTGTTGAAGTAATTTTTCTCCAAATTGAAAGAGAGAACAACACTTGAGATAGTTGGTGTCAGGTGCAGGTTGCTCATCTAAATGGATTCACACAATTTTGTAAAGAGTAGCGCTACTCTAACTCAAAAGTTAGATCCACTTTCAAATCTGATGATGTAAGACAACTATTTCTTATATCTTTTTAAATCAATCATCTCTTTCACATCATTGAGTCTGTAAAATTATTTTTCTTTTGTGAGTGCCTCAGAAAAATACTTTTATTTATTTATTTATTTGTTTAATAGCCTGCAGATTCAAAATTGATTAATAAATGTTTTCATTTGTAAAACTATTCAAAATTGCTAATTTTTTTATTCATTCGTCAAATTGTCCCTCAATTATCGAAGTGTCTAAAAATTGAAATAAAACTGCAAAGGCATCATGTTGTTAGTAAAAGACTAATAATCATTAGTGAAGTTGTGTTAAAGAGAAAAAAAAAACATGAATTTTCATAAAAGAACATTAAAAAAAATTAATAATCAACTAGTGGAACACAACATGGCTTCCAATTAATAGCATTGAAATATATTTTTATTGACCAATTAGAATTACCTCCCAGAATCTATAATTGTCTCAAAAGATTCAATAAGTATGCATTATTGGATCTTTAAAATAACACTTTAGAAGATCTTATAAATAGAACATTTTTGCATAGAAGATGTAAGCCAAATATTGGACATTTTAGAAAACCACTTTGCAATAAATTTACTGAAAAATAAGTTTTAAATTGTTTGGATTCTTATTGCTTTTTTTTATATAAAAATAAAAAAATAAAAAAGAAGCACCCAGAAGAAGAAGATGAAATTGGGAACTTTATATGTTTAGCACAATCCAGATATTCGGGCTTCTAAATCTGAAGCATGTTCATGCTTGCTCTGTGATTTACTTGGTTAGTTGTTATACCATGTACACAAGTTAACAATTCAATGACTGGGTTTTTATTTAATCTGCATTGATGACTGATGATTGATGATGTAGGTGGAGAGGGTGAGTGCACATGACCCAATGCAAAAGGACATGGCCATGCAGAGAAAAGAAGACAAAATCAATCAAGCTGAGTCCAACAAGCAGGAGGCGCACGAGCACAATGCCACCGCGCGACAATCAGCTGCAGCCACTACCAGAGTCGGTGGTGGGACCCAAAGTTACACCACTGGTGGGGGAATGGGGATGGAAAATTACTCTACTAGTGGTCCAAACATGTCTGCTGGATATGGATATGGTACCAGTCATCATGGCACCAACAACATGACTGAGGGGGGCATGGTCGGGTCACAGTACCCTCTTGGGGCTGACATTGGTGCTGCTACTGAGAACCCAGTTGGGGGGGGCTAACACTACTGCAATTGGTTTGAACGCTAGAAGCACTGATGATGTATACCCTTTAGATGTTGACATTATTGGGGCTAGCTTGAACCCGATGCATAACACCAATGCTGGGGTTGGTGACCGTGGTGGTGCCCCAACCTCTGGTTATGGCACTGGCGGTGCATATAATTAGATGATTCACATGGTTTTGTCCATAGCCCCACTCTACGTGCATGATCTTGTGTGTTTAATGGTTTGTGTTTCTGTTTTTGAAGCCTTAAGAGTTTGATGATTTTGTGCTTAGTTGGCTGAATAAATGTACAAGGATATGATATGAGGTCCCTGCAGTTTACTTACTGTTATCGTTTAATTTTATTGGAAAATTTATAAATGAATGAAAATTAATTGATCACCAGCATCTGCTTAATCTTGTCCTCTTTTGAACTAAAAGTTAGCACAACAGTTCGGCCACCTCCTTCCCTAATCATGACATTCTTGATCACTATTGCTTCCAATTCCTCCTTCACACTAAAATTAACGAATTCTGGTTTCAGTCTAATGACTAAACTTTCGTTAAGCCACCCATTGCCAATCTCCTTGGCTTTGATGCTAATGATTCCTTCCCTTTCACCATATCCGCGTATGACCTCAACTTACCATCTGACCCTTGATCCTTCCTTCCGCCAGCACTAGGTGCTCTGCTTATAATTGTCTGGTCATGCGTTGGATTTTTCACCACAACATCGTCTTTCCCATACTCTATATCTTTGACTGTTAAAACTTTATCATCAATCCAAATCCCATTAGCTTTTTGAACTGCGATTCTTGCTACAACCGGACAATCAAATCTGACAAAACCAAATCGTGAGTTTGACGTTTTCCTTCTCTTGTTTGGAATGAACATATCTTTCACTACTCCAAATTTGGTGAAAAACTGAAATAGTCCTTTAGGATCCATCATGTTTGGTAAGTTATCCATGAACAAAGTAACAGCCTCTCCCTTGCTTCCCCCCCCCCCCGGGACCTAAGGATTCTGAATTGCTGCTAAGTATGTTGGTGCTGGTTGTTGGTGTGTGATGCTGATTTGAGCTACTGTTATAAGGCTACTCTTGGTGGTGCTGTTATGAGGCTACTATCCTGGTGTGTGCTGCTGATATGAGCTGCTGACATGCTGATTGTTGCTTTTTCTTGGCCCAAAGTTATTTCTTGGTCTCAGGTGTGACAATGCTTTGGTGTATTGGTGCTGTTGATGTATTGCTGCTTTTGTTCTGTTTTTTTGTTCTTTCTTCTGTTGGTTGCTTTTGATTGGTTTCTCACCAATCTTGGGTCAAGTGCTAGCAAATGATTTTGCTTCCTTTGCGATGCCAACCTAGTTAGGATTGTTGAGGTTAACTTTGATGCTCAGTGCAATTCCCTGCTTTGTTAATGTATTTTTGCATGTATTGTATTTTTTTCATCAATAAAGTTTTATTTTGCTGATCAAAAAAAAATTAAGGACGTAATGTAACACTAATTTTATTTATTTAGTCATTATAGTGATTCACATGATATAACATGACACGTGTGAATTATAGATTTGATAAAATTGTGGTTTTATATTGTAAATCACAAGTTACTATCTTAAAAGAATGGTTTTTTTAAGTGTTTTATTTTGATGGGTAAGTAGAGTTATAATTATATTAAGAAACTGGCTTATTTTCTACTTATAAATGTACATTTAATTCTTTGTTCAATCAACTTTATATCACTTGAAGGTTTTGCATAACATATCCTAGTATGTTTTATTTTTCGTATTATATTATTGTTTGTGAAAATTATGAAAGTTGACGATCTTGGCACTATAAAAATTTAGGGACAAAATTATTTTTTAGGAACTAAATATTTTTGTTGCGAAAAGTGTCGTAATTATATTTTTAGTAACAAAAGTTGGACATTAGTAATGAATTATTATCCTTTTGAGACCAATTTTTTTGTCTAAAAAAATAAATCATTTTGAAACCAAATTATTTTGTCCCTAAAAGTCTATGTATTAGTGACATTTTTAAAATTTTGTCGTTCAAAATCTTATTTTTGACTTTTCGGGACGACCTTTTAGCTTCTATCCTCACGACGATAGAAATTGATTCCTAAATATCTTTTGCAACAAAATTTTCACTTTTAGAGACCAAAACATTTAGTCTCTAAAACTTTTATGTGTTGCATGGACTATAAACTCTTATATGTCACTGTAGGAAAAAATGTCTTTATCGGCTTTTAAAAAATGCCACTATAAGCTGTAAAAGCAACGTCAAAGGTTATACCAATGTTTATAGTTTACGTTGCTGATGCTGCTATCGTCTTGAGTTTAATGTGTTTTATAAACGTAACTAGATAATTATAGTCTTGAGTCTAAGGTGTTTATAAACATCACTAGATAGTTATAGTGATGTGTAGACACCCCATTTTTGACCGTCCTCAAGACTTGGACGTCATCGTTTGAACACTCGATGATCATCCATGCTCGTGTTCATTTTGAGTTTCCGGAGGTCTCAGCCGCGCGTCTTGCCTCAAGATCTCTCGACTTGTCTGTTTTGTGCTTGGTTGTGGACCAAGGACTTTTGGTTTTGCTTCTAAGGGAAGAGGGTGGCTTGTTGGCCATCCCATCAACCCATCGGCTAAGGCTTGATGTAGACACCCCATTTTTGACCGTCCTCAAGACTTGGACGTCACTGTTTGAATACTCGGTGATCATCCCTGTTCGTGTTCGTCTTGAGTTCCCGGAGGTCTCGGCTACGCGCCCTGCCTCAGGATCTCTCGACTTGACTGTTTTGTGTCTGGTTTTGCACCAAACACTTGTGTTTTGCTTTGGAGGGCAGGGAATGGCTTGTGAGACATCCCCACACCTCACCGGCCATGGCTTGAGGCCACCGGCCTTGTTTCCTTGCCACTGGCCATTGGTGATGGCCGGTCGGCACTATTGATGGTCGGTCGGCATTGTGTTTGGTCGGCCGGCCACCGTTTTTGATCAATCGGCCACTTGTCCTGACCGAGACCTTTTCTTGAGGGAGCTTGACCCTTTTGAACCTTTTTTTAGCTTCTCCAAGAAGCTTGATCCTTTTTTAGCTTCTCCAAGAAGCTTGACCTTTTTGAACCCTTTTTAGCTTCTCCAAGAAGCTTGACCTTTTTTTTAGCTTCTCCAAGAAGCTTGACCTTTTTTTAGCTTCTCCAAGAGGCTTGACCTTTTTTTAGCTTCTCCAAGAAGCTGGACCCTTTTTTAGCTTCTCCAAGAAGCTTGACCTTTTTTTAGCTTCTCCAAGAAGCTTGACCTTTTTTAGCTTCTCCAAGAAGCTTGACCCTTTTTTAAGCTTCTTGAAGAAACTTGAACCTCTTGACCCCTTTGCCTAGCTTCTCTAAGAAGCTTGGCCCTTTTGATCCAAGCTTCTAAGAGAAGCTTGGCCTTTTCGCTCAAAGCTTCCAAGAGAAGCTTTGCCCCATTGGTTTCTCTATATAAGGAGAGCCTCTCCTTCCATTTTAGGGGTTGAAAAAATCGGATATATATCACATATATATCACTCCCTCTCTATATCTCCCTCTCTCTCTACATTTGGGTGGGTTATAGAGGGTCCAAAAGGGCCTTGTTCTTGGCCTATTGCACACCACTTCATAGCCACACACCTCCATCATCACTTGGAGGTTCTTAGAGCTTGTTTTCAGAGGCTGAGGACTAGTTTTTGAGACCTAAAGGCTGCTGGTTCTTGCTGGTCTTCAAAGGTAACTTCTTACCCTCTTTATTCCCCGTTTTTGCACACACTTTTAGCCT